TCTCTCTCTCTCTCTTTCTCTCTCTTCCTCCCTCCCTCCATATATCTCATTCACTTTCTCCTCCCTCTTTCCCTCCCTCTTTCTTTCTTTCTTTCTTTCTTTCTTTCTTTCTTTCTTTCTTTCTTTCTTTCTTTCTTTCTTTTTTTTCTTTCTGTCCCTTCCTTCCATCCCCCCTTTCTTTGTCTATCCCTTTTCTTCCTCTCTCTCTCTGAAATTCCCCATCATCGTGTCATAAATGCTTTGGAGTAGTGAACCGGACCAATCCCACCACTGTGATAACTGCAGCAAGATTATTGTTTGCATTGTGGATAATGCCAAATGCATTCCAAAAGTGGAATGGTTTGGCATTTCCACAATGATTAGTGAAGATGATGGAACTCACTAAATGGCCAGTGGACTTCTTTAATCCCCCAAAGTGACAATATGCTTATTGCCGAAAAAAATGAATTCATGATTTATAGTTGTGATGATTAGACAAAATAGATTATAGAGAGAAGAAACTCATGTTGTATAAGAAGTTAAATTTATCATTGTACTTAAAACTGCTTTAAAGGAGATTAGAAGGCACTTCTTTGAATCTTTTTTTCTTTTTGGAAATGTTTCTTTTTTTTTTCTTTTCCTCTTACTTTATATAAGTTTATATTGCAGACCTATCAGATAACTCTTTTTTTCAAATTATGATAGTACATGAGCTAAGGAAGCTTACTGGGAGCTGTAAGATATTACAATACTCGTGGAGCTCCTTCAGGGAGCAGAATATTGCTCTTTGAGAAGAATAACAGATTGTACTTTTGTTGAGAGATAAGTAAAGAGATATGAAACCAATGCCAGCTTTCTAAGGTCTGATGTGAGATCAGTAAATATTGATTGTTTAAGAGCTTAAGCTGTGTCTCAAAATGCATATATTTAAATATATGCAAAGATACAGATTGAATAAATAATAACAAGTAATAATTGCCAACAAACCTGAAGAGGAATCAATCCCACATAACCACTACAGTCTTGGAACTTCTAGTCATTTAAGGAAAGGTAGTTAAACAAAGGAAAGACAGGATAATACTGATATCTAATCCACTCTCACAGACAAACAATCAGTCACATACAAAATCAATATAATACCGTAGCAACTTGCCTGCTTCAGTATTTCCTCAATTTGATACCCTCTAAATGTGATTTACTTTAACTCTCATAATTCCCAGTTAACACATTCAATTGATAGTTCATAATTCAGATGGGATTTGAACCTATATTTCTTTCACCCAAATGGAGCAGGCTTATCACTATGCCACACAAATCAGCGCTAGCTAGCTAAGTTACATTATACTTGTCCATTAGGAGACATAGATCGACCACTTTATCAATCTAAAATTAAGTTGATAGTTTTGCAAAGGAAAAAATGGTGTGATAGATAAACAATTATAACCCTATGAATTCTAGAATGTTAGCTCAAAAGAACTAATTAATTAAAAAGGGGATAAGATACTTTGTTTCTCTCCAAATCAGAATTTACAGCCTTTGTGACAGGAAACTTTGCAATGTCTAAGAGCAGAAGATATTGGAAGAGTGGGGTTAGGATTTTTCTGTATGCATTCAGAAAAGCAAATACGCAACAAATATTTTCCTTGTCTCCTTCCTAGCCTGAAATTACTGTGACATATTTTTTTTTACTGAATAATGAATTGAGGAGGCAAAAAACACAGAGGCAATTAAAATCTCAACCAGAAAAGCAGCCAGCTTATGCAAATGGCTCTGAAAAGGAAAGACTCTTGGCTTGATCTCTTAAGAGCTATGGTGCCACAGTAGTTAAAATGCAATATTGCAGGGCTAACTCACTGCTCACTCCAAGAGTTCAATTCTGAACAGCTCAAGGTTGACTCAGCCTTCCATCCTTCCAAGGTCAGTAAATTGAGGAGCCAGATTGTTGGGGGCAATAGGCTGGTTCTGTAAACCACTTAGAGAGGGCTGTAAAGCATTGTGAAGCAGTATGTAAGTCTATGCTATTGCTATTAAGATAGCCACATAGTTCCTTAGAAAGTTTACCACTATTGAGAATTTCTGAGATTATCTGAGTTTGATTAAGCTGCCCAAAAGGAGGAAAAAAATTCTAGGAGGAAATAGCCATAGGGGCTAAATCAATGTTTATTTGATGCAAACAGCTTTGACAAATCCCAAAAGATTAACTGGAACAGCTGTCTGATTGGTGAACTGCACAAGATGTAGGGTTTGCTCTTGGTCCCTTGAAGGAGTTGGTATTTTTGATTGAGCAGATACAAGCAGCATTTTTATCTGTCACAGTTACTGAGGAAAATGATGTTGAAATTAATGAGAGTTTCGACTGTAGCTGCTTACCAGGAATTTGTAAAGGGTAAGAAATTTAAAAAAATCTATAGTCAAAAAATCCCTGGCACATCAGGAACAGTGGAGAGTTTTATCCAAGGATCAGATAAAAACATGAATATCACCTCATTATTCTATCACAGGTAATGCCTTTGGTGAACTGAAATACTTTTACAGAAATATATCTGAGACAGCAGTAATTCTGCTTGTGCTTTACCTCTATAGGAAAGTGCTTTTTCATTACAGTTTGCCCCAGTTTGCTAGTCTGAGTAACTCCACTGAAATCACATGACATTACAGAGTTGATAGCAATAAATCAAAGATTTAAAATAGTATACCGAGTTATCTGGCAGATGGGCAAAGACAGCCCTAGAATTAGGCCCATAATCTCCCAGGAGGAGAGGCTTTCTCATTCAGGACAGGAATGGGGAGAGTTTTGGGAAGAACTGTATTTTAGCAAGGCAGAAGGTTAGAGGACTGCTATTGTTGCTTGGAAAGTTTAGTTCCCATCCAAGAAACTTCTGTTTGTTTTGACCTGGATGACTGAGAATCTCCATAAACACTGAGGAAAAAACATCTAAACTGCAGAGGACTCATTTCTCTATCT